TAATATTGTTTAGCCTTCTGAAGATGATTGGAACCGGGGAGAAAAAATATGTGAATTATTGAAGCCTTTCAGTGTCATTACTACACATTTTTCAGGATCTAAGTATCCCACTTCTAGTGTGTATTTCACACAAGTCTGGAGAATTGAGCTTTTGTTGAAGAAATTTGCTTTTTGTGATGATGAAGATGTGGAAAGAATGGCTCAAAAGATGCAAAGAAAGTTTTCTAAGTATTGGACCGTTTATAGCCTTATTTTGGCTATGGGAGCAGTTTTTGATCCTAGGATGAAACTGGAGATGCTTGAAATGGCTTATGGAAAAGTTGATCCATCAACTTCTAAGTTGAAAAAAGAAGACCTTAGAGAGAATTTGGTTCAGCTCTACAAAGATTATCAGGCTAAGTCGTGGACAAGTTCTTCAGGTGCTTCAGCAACTCCAACTCCACATGAGTTAGTTTCCGAGTCTCCACTTGATGATGATTTCGATAATGTAAGTACTCTCTTTACTATTATATAGTTTTATAATCAGGATTTTGTTATTACTAACTTGATGTGAGTTTTCAGGATCTTTTTGAGCTTGAAAAAAGCATCGGAGTTGGTGTGAAAAACACAAAGACACACTTGGATGTTTATTTAGAAGAGCCAAGATTAGAGATGAAGTCTTTTCCAGATTTGGATATTTTGAGCTATTGGAAAGAAAACCAACATAGACTTGGTGATTTAGCATCTATGGTACGAGAAGTGCTAAGTATCCCCATCACTACAGTAGCTTCGGAATCTGCGTTCAGTATTGGATCTCGAGTGTTGACTCCATATAGAAACCGACTACTTCCAAGGAATGTACAAGCTCTACTTTGCAACTGGCTACGAGGATTTGCAGATTATGAAGGTAACACTCTTTTTTTTGACTAGTTACATAATAATTAAGTGGATTTTTAACTAATTATGAAATTTCTAAATTATAGGTACCATAGAAGTCAATGATGAAATTGGTAATGAAGATGGTAGAAATGCGGGGAGTACTTCAGGAGTAGAGGGATCAAGATCAGGAGATTCAAGCATTCGCTGAAATAATGCATTGAAATAATTCAAGATTCAAATATGTGACTTTTGTGTTATGAACATGTAATATTCAAGTATGTGACTTTTGTGTTATTTTAGACGTATGGTATTTTATGAACACTTGTTTAATTTTTTTGTTTTCATATAATTTGTTTAATGTTTTAAAGATATATTCATGTAAGTTTTTAGCCTTAACATTTTAGTTTATCAATTTTAAAACCAGATTACATCTTAAAAAAAAAAAAAAAAAAAAAAAAAAAAAACAGGTAAAAGTCAGACGGGCCTAAACGAGCTTTTAGAAATTTGGCGGGCTTAAACGGGTAGGCGACTAAACGGGCTTCAAAATATTTAGTTAAACGGGCTCGGGTCTAAACAGGTTTGGGCTTCAACGGGCCGGGTAGCCCGTTTTAACACTACTAAAATCAACAATAATCTATATGCAGCTCTATAAAACTCAAAGAAATATCATTTCCTCCGAAAATGGCTAGACTAATGTTCAAAATTGAGGCTTAGAGTAACAATAAGAGAATCTAAAAGAAATAAAACCATATAAGACACAAGATTCAACATGGTATTACATTTTACTTTCCTAATATGCTTGGTGTCACATGAACCAGCTGTTTCGAGTAATGAACACTCACATGTATAATACGGAATTTCGTACAACACTATTGGAAAAACAAAAGTATAACATAGACAATACTTGACAACATAAGACAAGAAGTTCAAAAGAATCACATGGATAAAAAATCCTCACCATCGTAAACCAATTTGGGTAAAATTGCATCATATGCCTTGCCTATATTTTTTTATATTGTCCTATAAGTAGGGGGATCAAGGAGAACTTTACCTAATCTCAAGTAAATGGTTAGTGATTTTGACAAAGAAGATTTAGCAAAAAGAGCAGAACAATGAATGTGAGTTGTGACGGAGCACCCATATATAGCTCTGTTATGGAAACATGATCAATATGTCAAACATTAACTGTAATCACTATTGATAAGGTTTGAGGTACATAAACCCTAACTCTATCCTTCTTTATTAATCTCATAACAATTGTTCAACTATACACGTACAAGCATTACTTCTTCTTTAAGTTACTAATCTTCTTTATAGAGTTCCTATTACACTGAGACGCGGTTTACACCGCTATGAGCATCGTAAGCTCTAAGATCGACTTGAACCATTCATATTAGTTTTCTGCAGTTAGTCTGGTCGTATTGGACTCTTATGGTATTCACAGATAACACATCAAGCTGCTCATATCTCAACACAAGATATAGTCACAGTTTCTAAAATACAGAGTTAAAGTGGAAAATGCAAAGGAAGATGTGATCCAAATTTCTCTACTCAACAAAGTAAAAGTACTCCATTATTTTTTTCTTAAGCAACAAAGTAAGTATTTTCCCTTCAAGACACGTTGTGCTGATGATACATTTTTATCTATGTCGGTTTGAAACAAAGAACCCTTCATAAATTAGAGCTAAAATGGTAGATTTCTAACATGACATGTATGCTTTCAGATTTGACATGTATTTTCTCAGATGCGCCAACAATAACCACAAAAGTCTTAAGGGAGATGCTAGAGCAAGTTAATTGTTATATCATGTTCAAAATCTAGTAATTCAACTCAAATTCATAGAGGATTATTAAATTTGTTTATAGGCTGGATCCACTTGGTTTTACCCAAATACGTGTTCTACTTCTACACCACCACGAGGCCCATGTTGTCTTTGATGAAATAAGTCATTTCAATGAAAGATTTAAGATATCTCAACTTGGTTGAAAATACTTTATAGATGATCAACAAAGTTTTCATTGTTGTGGATTCTTTGGAGATCGAATTTCGTTGAATATCTCAAATTCAATCTCCAAGGAATCAACAACGACGACAACTTTGGATAATTTTCGCTTGAACCCTAGACATTGAAAAATATAATTTTCTCTTGAACCCTCTATATAACTTTCTACGCTTGCTTCGTCTCCCTCCATATAAATATATAGATAAGTTAGGGTTTATGTGTCACTGGCTCACGGTGCTTTTAAAGCTATTTCCATCTCCTACTTCATAATATAATGTTGTTAGATATACGAGTCATGTTTTAGGGATATTAATTATTAAATTAAGGAAAATTACTGCAGATTCGAATATCATCTACTATATATAAAATGATAATAATTTTACATGATGCTACTAAAAAATAGTTAAATATTAAATTAAATTACTGCTTGGTAAGTGCTTTAGAGTCTTTACAAAGCAAAAAATTTTCTAAAGCATTGAAATAGATCCAATCAAGCTTTAGAAGCTTTGGCTTTCCTTTTTTTTTTCACAGCCAAAATATTTTCATAATTCATTTTTTTTTGCTGTAGAAAGCCTTTTTTCTAAAGCATACAATTTTCAAATTTTCAAAATTTTAAATTCTACAGCAAAAATACGACAACACTAAAATCTACAGTCACAGCCAAAACATCTACAGTCAAAAATCTAAAGCTACAGCCAGAACCAATCAGGCCCATAATTGTCTTTTAAATTAATTGAGAATATTCTTTATTTTTTTTCATTTTTATGATTTTATCTCCTTAACTTTTAAAAAAAAAATAGATTTCCTACAGATTTTTTCAAAGATTTGTTTTTTTTTTGTCATCTGTTACATCACTATTAGAAGTATTTGATCTACTCCGGTAGACTACGTGTAACACATGCGATTATGATAAATAAAAAAAAAAACTTTCACGAACAACGGTTTCACGATGTATCTCTATCCGCAACACTCGGGTTCATGATGGATGGTTGTGCATGTATGATATTTGGTGGACAGGCTCACTCCGCAACACATGAAACCACGACGAACGGCTCTACCTGTAGTACTCTGGAACTTTTGTTAAGCTTTGCACCAATAATCTGCAAAAATTATCTAATCTAGGATTTGAACTCGAGACCTTGTGTAAAAACCTTAAAACACTTTCCCAGTGGGAAAGAGTGCTTCCACATATTTATTTAATTTAATTAACTAATTTTGTATACTATATTCTTCTTTTATTTAGGTCAAAATTTTGTATATTATCTCTGTCATTAATTTGATTAATTTCCAACTACATATGTTCAGCAGGACTGATCATGACATTTCAATGATTTGATGATGTTGGGCCAAGCTGGACTGAGATGGTAAATCTCTTAAGTGAGAAATTTGAGTCTAACTTTGATGTCGATGTCTTGTAAAACTGGTATAAGATTTTGTGAAGAAGATTTTAACGTGATCTAGAGTCTTCACTGACTAGATGGGTTTGCTTGCGATGAGGACTTTAGAAGAAATATTTTTGGCATGCAAGAGTTTAGAAAGATCGGTTGTTCATGTGTTTCTCTTCATCAAAATTCAAAAGTGGAAGTGCTCTTTTCATTGGCTGACCTTAACATGTAGAGCATGAGAAGAATATAGATACGATTTCTTCTCTTACTAAGACAGGAGAGGAGAGTTCAATCTACGTATATTGTTTCAGCTTGATATGTACAAAACTCTTAAAACAAAAATAAAAACTGGAAACAAAGGTAAAATAGACACAATTTTTTTTCCCATTTCGACAGGTCTATTTAAGAACATTTTAGACATTTCTTAATCTATATTTTCTTCTATCAAACTGGATTTTTAGACTTAAAACATAATTCTTACATTTTGGATCAAGATCTTCAGTATTCCATGACAATTAGTGAATGATTCCTTCATCTTCATGATTAGTGGTTAGTCTTTTAGTATAAATATGGGTTAGGTTAGATTAGGATGATTTAATAGTTTGATAATGATAGATTCAGCTTCATCTTTTTAATCTTATGACTACTCTTAATTCTAATCTCAGTTTAGATCAAAATGTCTCTCATGGCTTGCTTTATCTTAATATTCAATTTGTGTGTGAAAGAGGGGAGAAGGAGATGATTGCTGAAACATATGGTGTTACACACAGCCTGCTTATATCTAACACAGGTATAGTCACAGTTTCTAAAATACTAGTAAGAGTTAAAAAAAGATGCAGCCAAATCTCTCTAAAATATCAAAACAAAGTAAAAAAACTCCAATCTTTATTTTTGGTGTTGTATCCTTTATTGTCCACTTAAGCAACAAAGTAAGAACTTTTCCTTTCAAAGACAAACTGCTTTGATAATACATTACATCCATCAATGATTGAAATAAAGAACCATCCATTAATTAGAGTTTAAATTGTAGATTTCGTACATGACATGCATGCTCTCATATTTGACATGTATTCTCTCGAATACTGCAACAACAACCACAAAATCTTGAGAGTGAGACTAGAGCAAATTGTTGTCATGTACGAAATCTATAATTTCAACTGTAATCATGGTTCTTAAATTTGTTTATGGGTTGGATCCAACTGGTTTTGCACCATATACGGGTTCCAACATCACGAGCCTCATGTTTTTTTATTTCCTTTCTTGTACGAGCCTTTTGTTGTCTTAACCGCGATGGCTTAGTGTTATGTGTTGGTAACGCACAACAATAAGTCATCCCAGCGAAAGACTTAGTTGCTCTTATAGATGAACAGCAAAGTCGTCATTGTTATGGATTCTTCGGAGATGAAATCTGTAACGGTGACAACTTTGGATCATTTTCGCTTGAACCCTAGCTAGAAACCCTAGATATTTTATAAGCTTGCTTACTCTTTTCTCTCCACATATAAATATATAGCTAAGTTAGGGTTTTATGTGTCACCGCTCACCGCTTTTAAGGCTAAGTTAGGGTTTTATGTTAATATTCGACTTAAATTTTAGGGATAAATTAAGGAAAAATGCTGCAGATTCGAATATCAATGGAATATAATTAATAGCGTTTGGAATGAGTATCCTGATTTAGGATCAGTAAATTAAATATTATAAAATATCTTAATTCCTTAATTGTCTTTGGCAGATTCAAGTCAACTAGATCATCACTCGTACTGTAGTACGGGTTGAATTTCATTTATTACGAAATTTATAAATTTTATGTTTTCGAATAAATTTGTGATATATTATAATAGTAAGTGAAAAAATAATATTTTTTTGTCAGTTCCTATATATAATATTAGAATGAATATATTTTCATTTTTCTATACTATTCAATTATGGATATTTTTTTTAAGATATGAAAACGGAAAATAAGATTATTTTTAAAAAAAATTAATATTGTTTGGAAAATGAGTTTATTTATGTTAACAACCACAAAATGAGAGTGCATAGTTTTTAGTTAGATCAAAAATCAAAATATCATAAATGAATCGCATCTAAAACGTAGATTATTTTGAATTACTTAACAAAATTAGCTATTATTTGAATTAATTTAGGAAATCATTTTTCAAATTCTGATTCATTGGTTGTTGAAATAGAGATTTTTTTTTTGGTAAGAGAGGGGGAGACAATTGTCTCCCACATTTTATTACGAACTAATTAAAAAAGAATTACAACCGAACATGACGTGGACTTTCTGTCCCAACCGAATCTGCTAGCATAATAGGATGAACAACACTAGGACAAGAATCAAATGAATGAAAACCTAACTGCAACGAGAACGCATAGTTCGCTAATCCGTCTGCAAGACGATTAGCCTCCCTATACACATGAGTAACCCGGACTATCCAGTCCCTTGAGAAAGAGCCATGGCACAAGCGTACCAGGAATGCCAGCGGATGAGCATCACTTATCCCTGACTTTAGAAATCCCACCACCAACTCAGAATCCATCTCCAACTCCACTCGCCTAAAACCTCGCTCCCAAGCGATCAACAGGCCATAGTAGACTCCCCACAACTCCGCCAACGGAGCCGAACATATGCCAATGTGGAGCGCAAATCCACCTAACCAGCGCCCTGCCTCGTCTCTAATAACTCCTCCAGCCGATGCCGGTCCCGGATTACCCCGACTAGCACCATCCGTAGACACTTTAACCCAACCTTCCACCGGCTTCTTCCATGAGATCATTCTCTCCACTCTCCCTGTGGCTTGTGAAGAGACCGTCACCAACTTATGCGCTTCCAAGACCTCCGTAGCTAAGTCCTTGAGAAAACGCACCCGATCACGACACTTACCAACCTCTCCAAACACATACCCGCACCTCCACTTCCATCCCCACCAAACCGCAATACTAAACAGAGTCGACCAATCCCCCGGGCTAGAGCCTGGTCTATCTCCCAAATTATCGAACAACCATTCTAGTAAAGATTTTTCAAAGAAGGCTTGTCTCTCCCGCAGCGGTACTAACCGTGACCAAATGCCTGCCATCGCCGGACAGTCTCTCAAAATATGTAAGATAGACTCAAAGTCACCTTTACATACTTGACACACCGCACTATCTCCAATATGGCGTCTCACTCTCTCCACATTTGTCATTATCACTTGGTGACTTACCAGCCAAAGGAAGACCCGTATCCTCTCTGGTATCACCACTGCCCATATCCTCTTAAAAAACCGCTCCATACATGGTGTAGGTTCTGTCTCCCGCCTCAACAACTCGTAAGCAGAACTGACAGTAAACTCCCCATTCGGGTTTCCTTGCTGTGGATGTCGGACTCACACACTCAAGTATTTTGTTAAGTAGGGAAGATTATTCTTGAGGGACAAAAATGAATATGTAAAAACTTATAAATTGATACGAAAATTGCTATAGTATCTCTCTCTCGAGAGGAAGATCCCCTTTACATGGCCATTGGCCTCTATATTTATACATAGATAAACGACATTAAAATGAGCAATTAAGTACAATTATTCCTTCTTAAATGTGTCCGTTTTGATTCTTCGACTTTAATGCTCAACGTTTGAATTTGAGTTGACTCTGATCTTCATGGGCCTCGCCTCTTTTGGCCCAAGTGTCTTTGAACCGACTTACCCATGTCTTCTACACCGAACTCGTGTCACAGTGCAGTCACTTCGGATTCTCGAAATGGTGACAACCACTTCGACCGTCCCTTCGGCTCACGGGTCCAAATGGCTTCATCCTTTATGGGCCATTATCTTGATTACGTGGCAATCTTTGGTTGGTCTCGTACTTCTGGTGCGGGATCCGACACCAACAATTAGCCCCCCAAGTTCTTCGAAGTGCTATTCCAATTCGGAGGACTTTAAATGCTCAAGTGGCCAAAGATTGCGCTCGAGAATCTTTCTGATTTCCCGCCGAAAATCTCATCACTCCTTTAATTTCGGCACTAGCCTTTTTTAACCGAGTGACATCTGTCATCATTATGACCGTATATTGATTAATTACTATTAAAACGGAAAAAAACCTTCCCACTTCACACACGACTTCCGAGGCGGTTTCATCATTAGCTTGAGGTAACTTCTTTTCACCATTACTCTATTCTTTTACTTTTGTACTTTAATCAAAAACTCTCTCTTCGTTCCTTCACCAAAACCCCTCTTCGCCGGATCTTGAATTTTCCTTTCTTCCCAATGACTTCCGATTCCGATAGACCCGAGTCTCCGTCTTTCGACGAGAGGCGTTCTAGCAACGACGAGTGCACCCGCTCTGATGATATTGCCGGTCCGCACTACAGGTCCACTTGTACTCTTCAATCCCTCGAGCGGCTGAGAGAGCTTTGCCGGATTCCGCCGGAAATTATGGCAGAAGCACAAATAGCTTCCCCCACAGAATCTCCAGAGAGCCATCGCGATGGTTACTTCTGTGTATACGAGATTTATTTCAAGGGTTGCGGGCTGACCTTTCCTCTTCCCGAAGCCCTAGTTCTATACCTAGCGGCTCTTGAAATCGCTCTTCCTCAACTAACTCCCAATCTTCTCCGTACTATTCTTGGAATTACGACAATCGCGGCGGAGGCCGGTTACGTTGTCGGAGTTACTGAACTAAATGAGCTTCTAAGCGTGAGAAGTTCATCGAAGAAAACGGGGTATTTCTCAGCATATCCTAATGCCAACAGGAACATCATTTCACATCTTCCGAACAAGGATGAAAATTGGCATCATCCTTGGTTTCTGATTAAGAAAACTCCCGCTTCGATTGGAAATCTTGCAGATTTTCTCCCGTCGAAGTGGTCTGCGAAACCCGGTAGTGATTAGGTCGCCCGTATCTTTCCCGGTTGTTTCTTTATCTTTATTGACTAACACCGTTGTTTCATTTCGCAGCTTTCATCGCTTCCACTCTCCCATCTGAAGAGTTCATCGAATTCTTCAAAATAATTCTTGAAGGGGAAACCCTTTGGAATTCTTTCACTCTTGGACGATTCCTAGAAGCTAACCACAAACTCAGGATGAGTCCACCTGGTCATCTTCACCAAATTCCGCCCCCTCCCTCAACTCAGGGAATGTCATCTCGGGCCCTTGCGGCCAAGCGTAAGTTGCTTTCCAAGCCGATGGCTGAGGCTTGCGAGGAGAAGAAAAAGTTTCTCATGACTTCTATTGACAGGAAGGACTACAGTAGGACCTTGCTGGTTGATGATGGCAGCACCGAGGGAGCCCGATCTGTCGCTTCCTTCAGATTAACTCCTCGTCGCGATCGTCGCGACTCACGTTCTCCTCGGAGGGGTCAATCTCCTCGCCGTGATTCACCTCGTCCTCCCCGGGATGATTTTAGTAACGAACCAATTAAGAACTTGGTTCGCCGGAAGAGAGACAAGTCCTCTCGCAGTGATTCTTCCCCGCAGAGGGAAAAGTCAAGGGCCCGGACTGACCGCTCACCTCGATCATCCCCTCCTTCTGAACCAATGGGTCCTCCACGACCGGTTGATATGTCTTCCTCTTCCCAGTCTGATAGTGGAAAGACTGCCCGGAGCGCGTCTCCGAAAAAGGGAGATTCTAAATCTCGAGATGCTTCCTCGAGGTTAAAACCTGCTCTCGTCCCTCAAGTCAAATCGCTTTCAGGTTTGGTGATTCATACAGTCTTCAACGTTTTTTTTTTTATTTCCATTAAGATTCCGATTTTTACAACTCTTCCTTCTTCGCAGCTATGGAGAAAGAGGGCAGCGTCTTCCGATGCTTCAAGACCCGATCGGGTTCGATCTTGCCAGACTTCGACAAATGGCGCCCTGCGATTCGTGAACGCTATTTGCTTCACGCGCATCACTCATCTCGGGTTAGTTCCATTTCTTTTTTTTTTTATTGCATTGCCATTCTACGAACTGACTCGCCATCCCGGGTTCATGAATAATGCCAGGCTCATAGCGAATTTAACGATATGATCGAACATTACGAAGGGTTGGTCATTGGACGGGAGAAGGAGATTGACATGTGGAAAAAGAAACTCTCTGCCCTTGAGGCTGAACTCAGTTCTTCTGCCGGCTCTAAGCAAGATCTGGAGGATAAGGTCGACAGTTTAACATCCGAGCTTGCGCAGATAAAGGGGGATCTGCAGGGTCAGTACGACCAGAACTTCAAGCTCCAGGAAGAGTTTTCTGGTGTTCAGGGTAGGCTTCAAGAGTCCGAATCAAACGCTGATTCCCTGAACAACCAACTCATCGAGCTTAACGCGAAGTATAAGGCGATTGCCAAATTGCGTGACTCCGAGTTGGCGAGGTCGGCATCAAAAGCCAGAAAAGAGGTTAAGGGACGCGGGATGGAGTTGATCCAAGGGGCCATCCGATTCATGCAGACTGAGAAGGCTAGGTCTGATTTGGAATCAGACATCAAGGAGCACGAGAGCAACCTGATCCTGCTGGATCAAATCCATGATACAGATTTCTCCGAGGAGCAAGAGAGAACCGAACTATCGGCTAATCTTTCTGAAAAGCGGAGTCGCTTGGCAGCTCTTCCTACTTCGACCTTCAACCCCTAGGATTTCGAGGAATTCTTCACTGAATCGCCTCCTATAAGTGAATCAGGTCTAGACTGGGCAGGTAATGCTTGGCTCCTGATATTTACTGCCTTTTCTTACCTTGTACCTTTGATTGACTGGAATTATTATTCCTAGGCTCAAGTGAGACGGAAGACGTTGTCCCGC